TTCTATACATTCTATAATATATGTATATTAAATTGTACTATTTATGTTAAACTATTTTTAACACAACGTATTTTTATTAATAAATTATTGAGTTTTTTAACAGATCCAATTACAATTTTTCTGTATTTTTCGATAACTTGATATATTTTTAGATGTAAAAATATCGACGACATATAATATTGATCACTCTGAAAATTCGATTTCTCAAGTTGCTCAACGTTAAATTTCTTTTATTACTTATTGATAGTATCTTTTTTAACTATAAAAAATGTATATTGGAAAAATGCATATTAAAATAGAGGAAACGATTATACTGATTTTTTTGTAATGGATAAGTTTCTCATTTTAACGATGACAAGAGCTTAAATAAAGTAAGTTAAATATTCATCATTTCCGGATTCCTTTAAGATAAAAATTGTTCTCATTCACGTATAAAAATGGCAATCTTTCGTCACGAACGACTAAACCTTGACCTACAAGGCTGAAGTCTTTTTAATAGAAAGCTTTGATGTATTTGTCATCCTAAACCGCCCTATGGTCTCTCTCCGCGGTCGATAGAAAATTGAGCATTCATCAGCCTTCGTCGTCGATAGGTGCGTTTCCGGGTATGGAGGTATAGAAGGTGTGCGCTCAGAAAGGCTGAAGTGGGGCAAAAGGGAACCACTTAGCCGAAACTGCAGGAGTCTGGGAGTCAGCAGCTATTCGGCAGACGTCACTGGCGCCAGCGGACTACCTTAAAGCCCGGCCACCCCCTGGCCGCCTCCATTCGCCCCTGCCATCGACAATCTCATTCCCCAAAAGCGTCGCAAGAATTATAAAGTTGGTGGAGGAGAGAAGAGAAAGAGGCGGAGAAGGGGGGACAGGAGAAAGAAAAGACTTCTTCCCTTGCCACCCAACCTTGTCAGGCGAGCGACCCGTCCTCTCTCATTCCGCAACCTACATGCTCTCTACCTCGATCTATCGTTGCATCCCTTGGTCTTCCCCCTATCTGCCCACTTTGTTCCTATTCTTCGCCCCTTCTGGCTGCCCCCCCCCCTCTCTCTCTCTCTCTCTCTCTCTCTCTCTCTCCTCGATGCTTTTTTGTTTTAACTTGGAAGTTTTCGCGAAGGAACTGATCGGGGACGAGCGAGTTTCGAGTTTCGACCGCGAGTTTACGAGCGGCACGGATCCGAAAATCTGTTCTCCATTAGCGCGACGCCGACCGGAAGTCGTTCAATTAGAGTCATGTACCGTGTGATCTCGAAATAATCCGGCGCTCGAGAGACTCCATTGTTATTTCGGACGACAAAAGTTTTGCCGAGCGCGTTCTCGTTTAATGAGGGACGCTTCTCGTAGTTTCGCAGTTTCCGCTCCATGGCCGAGACTACTCTCGCGAGTAGTTTTACAGGGCGATGACGAGATAAGGCCGGACTCTCCTTATTCCTTTATCGTTGCGCTCGATAAAACGGAGCGATTCTCGGATTATCACGTTATCAACCTTCTTCTCGTTATCCGTTGCTTGAGAAGAAATGGCGTTTCGTCATTGTGTTTTATATATAGAAAATAGAATAGAAATGTTCATCTACTCTTGATTTACAATTAGATAGGATTAACTTGATTATACATATAAAACAAATACGTTTTAGGACGAAGTACTAATTATTATCGATCGAATCCCAGACTCCAAGCTCAATAAATTTATTTCTGCTACCGCCTTAGGTGGAATTTTACCCCGTAAAAATGATTGAAAATATTTTCTCAAGCGATAGGAGAAATTTTTCCGTGCTGTACAAAGAATTACTGCGGAATATTTCCTGTCACCGTCACGGCAGCACCACCGCACCGCCGCGTTGAAACGTCCGTGCCTCGGAGCGCGTTTCTTACGCGTCGCGTTGCGCTTCGCTCGTTGCGGCGGTATCGGTTTTATCCAAACCCTCGAATTTATACCCTTTCCGCCAGACGGTAAATGGATATACAGTTGGACGAAAAAAAAAAAGAGATAGAGCGAGAAAGAGAGCAGGGAAAGAAGAGAGAGGAAACAAAAAGACATCGATCCCCCTCGGAACTAACGGAGATCGGCGTGCATACCGGTTTCATACGCACAACAAACTACTGGAACGGCCGGAGGCGTTAATATACCGGGGCGTAAGCCCGGGGGCGGTATTTTTTCGCCGCTCGCGCGCGTTCGCCGCTCTGAAAAATATTTTTCTAAAAGCTAATATCTCTCTCGGGCCGATATTCCGCCGTGTAAATAATATCCGCGCCCGTAGGGACAACAAAGTAGGCTGTCATGTGAGTGCAATCGCCAAAAGAGGTTGTCCGGGGAAAAAAATGAGCCGTTAGCGTGGCCAAACGCTCGCGTCATTTTTTCTTGCTGTCTGCTTGCCTACTTGCCGCTTTACGCTTTGCTTCCACCCGAACGATGATATGCAAGATCAAGAAAAATCGACGAAAACGGGATCACCATCGTATGAAAGTGTCAATGAAAGTATGAGTGTGAGTGAATGCGCTTGCATTTTTAACCCTATACAAATATTCTGTTTTACTAATTTTATCTACTTTTTTCATTTAGACTTATTATATTTTAGAGAGAGAGAGAGAGAGAGAGAGAGAGAAAATTTTCACAAAAATTTACCTTAATTATTATAATCTTGTTAATCCTTAATTATTTAGTTATATCTTTTTATGTCATTGTTAAAAAGAGATGAAAATGTGATGTCGCAGCGATTTGCGAATCGTTACATACATATTTGTGAATGAATCGTGTGTGGATTCATTCATGATTACGATTCTCGACATTTCTTTTTGTAACACTCGAAAAACATTATTACGTCGATCACGCAACTGCGCAGATTGCAAGAGGAAGCCACTATCCAGCCAGTTGCAATTGGCCGCCGGAAAGCACACGCTAGAACGCGATTATCAGCACATGATTAATATCGTCGATCGTTTATCCATGTATTCACATGGCATTTTTATCTCCATTAGTGTGACAACGACAATGACGATCACGACGAGGACAACGATGAAATGATAGGATAAAGATATAATTACATGGCACTGCATGTATTAAAGATTAAAAGACAATCGGCAGCGAAGTGGAAGTTATTTTAGTCGCTTTATTGCGACACACTAATAGCAAAAATGGTTTTCTCTCTGAGAATTCACGTTATATTTCTATACCATCTTCTTCCTCTTTCTCCGTTATTGAAAGAGAGAAAGCGAAGCTTGAAAAAGGAAATCAGCGTAAAAAACGTAAAAAAAAAATATTTTAATTTTTGTCGCAAGTTTTATGCACGCAGAGCACTCGGGGTTGTAGAAAGAGACAGATCGTAAAATCCGGATGTGATTACTGTATAACATAATTTCGTGTAAATTGTCCAAGATGCAAAGTGACGTGAATATTTGAGATATAAACGTATATAACTTTAGGAAATACCATAATGTAGAAGGGATTATCGTCTCGTGTAAGCGTGTGAATAGTCGAGCCATTCGTAAATTGTACTTCGGCTTGATTAAAACAGTTTTTTTTTCTAATGTGTGAATTGTAGGTATTAAAAATACAGATACACTTTTGATATATATTTTCTATCTATCCATTTTATTTCCAGAAAACCAATTTTTCCGATTACACTTTTATACAGTTTGTATGTAACATATATCTTGTAACTTTCTTCTAAATACTAAGAATTAGGCTACTCTTACCTCAGTAGTATCGTCTATTAACTATATTATCAACACAACAATACACTATTCGGAGTGATCCATCGATTAGGCACATTGTTTCTTATCTACTATGAAATTTACTTGTGCATTCGGGCACAAGTACGTCATGGAAATAGAGAACTCGCGTTTTTTTTTCGCTAAACGTGTAATAGTACTCGAGAGAAAATCGAGGCCCTACACGAGTGTTTTTTCGCGAATGCATAATTGTTGGACGCTCCGCTTCTTCGTTAAACAAAATGCGACTGTTTTCGTGTGATCGCGATCAGCAATATTGTGTTAAGGCTTTCCATAAAATTTGCGGCCCGCGGCGATGTAATTGTTATCGCGTCCAAGTCAATAGCGATTTCGCACAAAACACCGTCGGAACACGGGTTGCCGCTATATGAATGTGTCGGCACGTACGAAATGGCGGAAGGCGGGGGTACGGGGGTACGGGGGACCGAGAGGATCGGGGGACGGAGGCACAAAACGTCGAAGCGATTTATTAAATACCATACGGCTGAGCACTGTTATGACACGAGTATGCAAATATTATTTTGCGTGCACGAGGGGGCAATCAATGACCTGCTCTCTCTCTCTCTCTCTCTCTCTCTGCTCTCCATTCCCTCTTGCATCCGCCGGATATCTTCCTCCCTTCATAGTTCCATGATCGAAAACGCGACGTGCGAGAAAGTTCGCGAAAGATCCTGCGCGAACTTCCGGATGATTAATCAGCCACGCGAGAATGATATATCGATTCGCGGACTCTAACATCTAACAGATGGATGACATAGATTTACGTCTTTCCTTTATTTCACGATTACGTAATGCATTTAAGTGAAGCTATTGCCTAGAATCTAGAAATTAATCCGAGTTCTTTTGTTCTGACGAAAGTCGACAAAAGTAGAACGAATTATATTATATGATGAAGTTATTATTGATCATTTAGTCTAAATGTGAAATAATCATTAATTATATCGTAATAGCGAATTCGTTTTTATCATTAGCTTCAGAGGTAAACAAGTGATAAATATAAAATAAGTGATACTTTTACAAAATCTTACATAGCTGGGGTAGCTATAAATTAAATTCTACTTAAATCTATTATCACCGAATATATAGTGTGTGTGTTGAAATCTATAATTCTTTTTAATTTTTCCCTAAGAAATAATAACGAACTTTTTACCGCGTCGAAATACGAGTGACCAATGATTGCACTGTTTAATCTATATTGATATTTCATCTTGATATATGATAATTGTGATTACGAATGTTAACTTGAAAATCAAGAGATTGGAGAAATTGAAGAAACTCACCGATGAGCTGCCCTTCGGTCGTCCCGCAGAAGTTATCCAGCGATCCGTCGGACAACATCGGCATCGGCAAGGACGACGGGGGTGTCGAGGGCAGGGGGGTTAACTGCTAGTGAACCCACGAAGGGGTCGCGGCGGGGGTTGCCGCATTCGTGCTTACGTAGACGCCCGGCGCGTTGCCGGTCGTCGTGCCGATGACGACGCCGGTGTTCTGGGAAACGACGCCACCATTCTGGCCAACGACGTTGCCGTCACTGACTTGCACGGTGCCCATCACTCCCTGCTGGAAGTTAAAATCCAGCGTGCCACCCATCGACAATTCATGCCTAATTACCTGCAATTTACATATCAAATTGCATGTTTATACGTATATTTTACAAAGCGATATTCCCTCTCTTGTAGCAATCCTTATCCGGTAACATGAGTTTATTATATTCTCTTTATTTTAAACTGAAATTATTTTCTAAAATTATTATCCAACAGTAGCTACGAAATTTTTATCTTCACTGTATATAAAGTAAAGATATATAGTTATATGCGTATAGAGGAGCTTATAATTTCTTAATCATGTTATCTACTATATAAGATTTGGTAAATAAAATAAATTTTCCAGATAAGGATTAACACAGTACTTTACATGTCAATCGAAATATGCAGATTTTATGTAACGTCAAAGATCAACTGAAAAGCTCTTTATATATTATTTTTTATAAAAAAAATTTTATATTTAATTTAGACTCTCAGACTGTTCGTGGCGCAAAAAAATGATTTCTTCAATTTGTTGATTCTTAGAAACCTAGTGACGGCATTAGTACACTGAAAAAAAAGTTGTATCAACAGCATTATTTTAATTGAAAATAAAATTTGTTAATTCAATCATACTATTAATGAAATAAATGCTCTTGTTTTAATAAAATTTTATTTGTTTCATTAATACTTTTATTGAATTGACAAGATTATTTTTCAATTAAAATAATGCTGTTAATACAATATCATATTTTTCTCGTGTAATAACAGAGAGACGTAGGTTTGATAAAATTAGTAGTAACAGACGGAGCATAATCAAACTTACTTCCTCAACGTTGCAGTCGAAGCCGCCGTGCATTGCCTCGATGTTGATGTTAAGGTCATCGAGGGCGGAATGATTGAGCGCACCCATTAGCTGGCCCATCATGGTGCTGGCTGTGGCGGGGCAGGGTGTTGGTGTGTTAGGTGGACTGGGACCAGCTGGTCCAGTTTGTGCTGGCTGATGCTGTGGCTGATGTGGCTGATGTGGCGGTTGCTGCTGTTGCTGTTGTTGCTGCTGCTGCTGCTGCTGTTGCTGCTGCTGCTGCTGTTGACGCTGTTGCGTCTGAATCATGTATTGCAGCGTTTGCTGTTGATTGCTGCCCAGTGTCGTAGGACTGGGCTCGCTCTGCTGATACGACGGTGACATGCCAGACGGTGACATGCCGGGACTCAGGTTCTAATTTTTGAATTTATAAAAAGAAAGTGCGATGAAAATAAAAGCGTGATCGCAACGATCTGTATTTGTATACAATTTGTTATGTAACTTGTTACGTAAATACAAATGTTATTGATTAATAATGATTTATAAATAAAATATAAATATATTTCCAGAACTATATTTCTAAAACTATATTGTGAAATAGTATTATTTACCTTTTTCCTTGTACAAATATTAGTTTTCTATATTAGTCGTCTTATTCTTTACATTTCTCTGGAATTATATTAAAAACGTAACGAATCCAGGGAAATTGAAGATTTAATATTTTAATCTATTCTAGGATAAATATATGTGAACTTTGTTAATAAAGATACAATGAATATATCGCGTAGCGCACGCAATAAAATGATTAATATAAATAGAAGTAAATTTTAGCATAATTTAATCTTAGGAAATTTAATCTCGTGAATTAAACAATTAGGCAGGTTGTTCTGAATTTAGCTCGAATGTGTTTGTATTTGTGCCGTTATCGAAAATACGTTTCAATACAATTCCATAAGCGTATGATGCTTTTTTAAGCCAGTTTCAATAATAAAATGTAAATAAGCTTCCATCGCACCATCGCAAATCTTTTCACACAAGACAACAAAAATATTGTTGTGAAAATATCGGCCTCGTGGAAAATAACGAGCTCAGTTTCTATAAAGAAAAGATTCCTCGGCTCCTTCGATATTAATTTTCCGATTAGGTCACGATTGATCTTAAGAAATAATTAATTTTGAAAAGTGATATTGATTCATCTTTTCGACCGTCATGATTAACGTTATTGTGTGTCTTTCTCTATAAGCCTGCACATATAGAAGTTACAGAGACACTTTGTACGTTTGTGTATGTATTTGTGTAAAACATACATCGCGATCCTTATTGATTTTGCAACATTGCCAGGCCGAACATGCGCAACATAAAAACGCTGACGTCCTCCTTTGTAGATAGTTGTGGTATCCTCGCGTGAAAAATTCGCCAAAAATTTCAGACTCACCATTTGACAGCCGCACGGCTGCAGACCATGAATCGGACATCTTTGTTGATTGGCCGATTGCGGAGTAGGTGGCAGGCCATAAGATGCGGATGACGAGGTGCGTAGGCCGTTATTCCTCTGATACTGCGCTTCGTAGTAAGGTGGCGGCGGGCCCGTTTGCTGTTGGTGACCGGCCGGCGGTGATGTCTGGTACATTTGGTAGGGTTCCAGTTTCATTGTATCGGCCAGGTTGCCTGCTAGGATCGTATCTGCTATCAAATACGATGCACGTATTAATCGTTTTATCCGATATATATGTGAGATGGATGAACTAGATTTTTCGAATATATATATTAAAGACAAATCTTAAACTATCAAGAAAGCAAAAAAGGTGAAAAGAAGAGAAGAAAATGAGATTATTGTTAGATATGTACCTAATTGTTGATCCGGACTATAAGAAGACGCGTAGGTCGGTGTCCAATCTGGTTCCCCGAGAACCGCTGGGATAGGACTCAATCGGCCACAGGAGGAAGCGTTACTCGAGGCGCGAGGACTTGAATAACACAAATAATTAATTACTTAATCTGAAGGAGACGCTTTAAATTTCTTCTTGAAATTTATAACTAATATCTTTCTAATTTTGCATGTGTATAATAAAGATCTCTTTATAATACAAATGTATGCATGTGCCACGCATATAATGTATATAGTATCTAACTATATATTATACTATACGTTTGATCATATATTGCCAAACAATTAAATTCACTATTTCTCTATAACTGATACCTGCAAACTTCAAATACTCTCGAAATTAAAAAGAGATCGATTCGGTCAGTTTTGATATCACTCGATTCATATTATGACTGTTATGACATTCCATTAAAAACGGACATATAATTTAAAACAGTTTTTCAACTGTAAATCTTCTTAAGTTTTGTAAATTTTAATCTCGGTCGGCCGCAACTCGTCGGCTCACGTAAAGGAACACTGCAGCCGCTCTCGCGCCATCACGCTTGCTTAGCGCCGAGACATTGCCGTGTGTGCATGTCTCCAGATAATTTATTTTTTCGAACGAAAATGTTAAAGCTCTATCGTACCGGAAGTCAGAGGAAAGCTGGAATCCGCTGGCAGGTGGGAGGGGACTATCCGGAAACAGGTCCAAACCTTCTCCGACGCTGCTGCTGGGACTGGACGTGGGCTCGGCCAGCAATCCGCCGTTCCTCAGAGCCTCAGCGATCTTCTTCGAGCGGCCACGTCGTTTCTCTAGACTGCCGGTGCTCTCCATAGTAGTAGCTCTGCGCCACAAACACAATACACACGGTACTCTTGACAGTTTGAGGTCAAGAGAAATAAAAAACAGAAAGAGAGAGGCAAATTGCCGACAATCTGGACTTACCTACGACGGGCGGATTTACCCGGCTTGGCGTCGCGATTGATCATCCACCAGGAACTCTTGCCGGTTCCTTCGTTCTGTACCCGCATGAACCTACTGTGCAGCGACAAGTTGTGACGTATAGAATTCTGTAAACAAAAAGAATAACGTGATTTATACAATAAAATAGCAACGAGAGAGAGAGAGAGAGAGAGAGAGAGAGAGAGAGAAAAAAAATCTTGTTAGTAAATATATAATTCACTAGTCTGCTAATTTACATTTTGGTATTATTGCCAAATTGCCTGTGAACGTAATCATTTCCTATAGTATTTTAAGTGCTGAATACGAATCCGTTTTTTAAGTTTTACGTCACAATTTCGAGAAAAATAACGTAAAAAAACGACAATAACAACTTTTGAAGATTTTCTTGACGTTGAGTACTGGTAGCAAATTTTCTATATTACATTAATGCCACGCAAAATTTTTAACTTTAAAATGCATTTTGTTTCGTTTCGATTTGATTTTTCGTTTTCGACGTAAAAATAGTCACATTGTAACTTCATCGTTATTTTATTTAGTAGGATACGATACGATTATACTGTTATGTAAGTACAAAAACATTTAGTTTCCACATAATTAATTACTTTCCATATCATTAAAATGAAATAAAGTGCCTTTTCTTTGTATTACATGGAAAAGAGTTACTTTAAAATTGTTATATCTCGAAAACGAAAGATCATACAGACATGAAACAAAATGCATTTTAAAGCTAAAAATTGATACCTTCGTGTCGGAATTAAAATTTAGAAAAAAAATTTGTTGTCGGTACTTAATGTTAAAAATGTTCACAATTATTATTTTTTTCTTTCTTGGTGTCATTTTTTTCAAAATTGTGACGTAACAGCAAATTTTGAAAAACGGATTCGTTCAGCAGGTAAAAATGTATTTGAAAACAACTAAATTTGTTAAAACAATTTGTTTATCGTAAACTAGGTAATTGATTTCGTTATCTTACATTGTCTTACAAATAAAAATTAATAAAATATAATTGTCGAATAGTCTCTGCCGAGGTCTTTATGTTGTAGGATGATAGAAAAGCAATTTTAATGCTATAAGACAGTATTGAAACCATAATATATCTATAAATCGATTAAGATCCGAATTTTTCCACTGCAAACTTATAAACGCTTATCTGCATAAATTATATGCGAGAACTGTCTTGTTTGATATATACCGTATATAGTCTCTATCTTTTGCAGCGAGATAACATCCATGTACTATCGTACTATTACCCGCGTACGATAGTGTATGTAAAGAAGTACAAGAATGCAGGACACGAAAAAATCAATTCGTGAGAAGTGAATCATAGAAGCCGCGCTTTATATAATTTTCCGTTGCCCCCCTTGCCTTCTTCATTAGGCAAATTGAATCAGCTATAGTAGCCGGATCTTCCGAAAAATTTCGGAAAGCTTCTACTCTAATACGAGAATACCCGTGTCGCGAAGCGATAACAATTTTCTTTCGTCTTCGTCTCCCGATTCACGAGTCGGCGAGACGAGCGCGCGTCGAAGGATGCTTTCAGACGAAATACATACACGCAGAAGACGGCGTGATAAATAAAAATGGCTTCTTTAAAACGGCCGTTATATCGCGAACGAGACAGGCGGAAGTTGACACGAAGTACTTCGAAGAAGTTTCTTAAACTCGCGCCACGACGTTTTATCGTTTCGTTAAGTCGCCCTTCTAAAACAGAGTCGCAGATTGTTAGCCTTTAAATGTGGACAGAAATAATCATAAAAAAACCTATTTTTTCGGACGATATCATTATCGAACACAAAGATTTTTTGCCAAATCGTAAATATATCTTTTTTATTAGAATTTTTTTAATAAAAAGTGCTCTGGTTGTATTTGTCGATATACATGCGAGTAAGATCCATCTATGTATGTATGAATACTTAATTTTTATAATGCTTTATGATATTTTGGCAAGTCATAAAATTGCAAGATATTTATCATCCAGCTGTTACGTTCAATTTACTTGGACGTCTGACATGTGCACCGGACGTTTTAACATCCAAAAATTTATAACGTGGAAATGTAAGCGATGTATTCTTTACTGCCAGAAAGAAATAGCTCGCCTTCATGACGCACATCGCGTTCGTTGCTTCCACCCACAACATGTCCCTTTCAATATCAATCCGCGAAAAAAGAGACCCATATCCATCGGATGGTATGATAGCATATAAGTTACGCTTGTGTTGTTGATCCGACATAATACTGCAGTCTGAATGACCATATAACAGACGGAATAAAGCTTAACAGACCGGCACGAATCCTTCCCTTTGTTTCACCGTGCTAGCTGGTTTTCCAGTTTTGATAAGCTCATCGAATTAGTTGGTCACAAATGAGTTCCGCAATATAAATCTAAACTCCTCGTTATTTTTATCACGGCTTAGTACTACTTGCCCGCCTTTATTACCCAACACTCTTTTCAAAATTTGACCGATCGTCTCGCCGGACTTCTGAATATCCGGAAAGACGAAAGTATTTATCGACAAGTTGGAGAAGCTGTCGGGGGTATCGCGCCGACGGGATGCTTTTACGATCGCCAGCGCCAGACTCCTTTCGCCTTTAACCCCCGCGTGAGAGACTCGCGCTCGAGGGACGGACTACCCCTTCGATGAGACGATCAGCCATTTCAGTCGTGCAATCGCGGACTATACGGCGGGAGTTTATAACCCCATCATCTACCCGTCTTTATCGGTGCTATGCTTCGAAGATGGAGACATTTTCGGCGCCACCGTTCTGATTTTTCCATCCGAGCTTTTGCGAGGGATCACGCGATGACAGATATGTAAAATTGTAATGTTTTATTAAGCAATTGCATCTCGTTATGATAGAAGGAACAATTTAAATCGAAATATTTACAAAAAAGCAATGTTATTTGTTTGTGAGAAATAATTTTGCTGTAATGCGTAATTATCTTATACATATTTAAGAGTGAATCTTTTGAAGAGATATTTAAGGCGATAATGTGTTTAGAACAATCTCTTTGTAAATCTTTTTGTATATTAAATAAAATCTAAAATTTTAATTTATTAATACCTAGAAAGTTTCAAGACTTTAATAAAAACTAAAAAAGCTGAAAATCAGATAAAATACTGTATTCAACGTCGAGAAACACCGCCTCCATCCTCCTGATATTAATTATAGAATTATATATGCAGAGTACAACCAGAGCTTTTCACAGTCGATTAGCGTTTAATTAAATTTATCATTTGTATTCATAATGTAACTAGATGTTCTTTAGAGAAGGAGATGTTCTATCGAGATTGCTCGACTGAGTTTTAAGATAGAGATCACTTCGTCGATCTTACACAAGGTAAGAGAGAGATTATTGAACGAGTGTTCTCTCTCTTCGAATTCCGACTGCGATTCTTAGCCGCCGATAAAATCCAGCACTTTCGTTCGAAATCTCTATAAACCGTGCGGAAACAACCTTCGTCAACTAAGAGCGAAGAGAACACGACGAAGATAGCCGTCGTTTAGATGAGGCAAGAGAAGAGCGGTTATCTCGCGTCCGAATGGACTGTATAACGTACGCAATATATGGAACGTACATATATATATATATATATATATATATATATATGTACTCGTCCAGCTCTCGTACTTGTACAATATTTGTTAACGCATCATGTTGGACCAGCCAGACTACGCGTGATAAGGAATGCCGAAATCAGCGGAAAGATGAGATGTCGTCGAGCGCGATTACTCGTAAGTCTTTAATTCAAGGTCCCCAGGACATAGAGCATCATGGGCAAACAACGGTAGCAATCAAGAACAGCATTAAATGCGAATTTTATGTGTCTTTGAAATCTGTTAGACTACCTTATCTCTTGAAATAGAAGTACTAAGTACGATTTAATAAATAGCAAATCACAAAAATGTTGTCAACATTTAAGTTCATGCAGAAGTATAGTTTGCAAATGACACATAAGCAGTAACATGAATTTTTTAATACTTAACTTCAAAAATCGGAAATTTTAATAATAGTACTGCTTGCACCCCGAATAGTTCTACAGTTCCTGATAGGTTTTATTAATAGTACCGTTGATTTAGGCCAAAAATTAAAAAAAATAAAAACATGCGGTGCTAACTTCGCGTGGCACAGCAAGATTCGTGAAAGTCGATTTTTTTTACGGAATCTTACAGTACTCAAAGAGTACTAGAGTTCCTCTATAGATTAAAACAAGAGTTCCGGTCAGTAAATATTTTTAAATAAATTAAAAAAAAAGAGCTAGCACCTCAAGTTTCAAAAAGTTAATTTTTTTTGCGCCGTTTTTTAGTACTCGAAGAGTTCTATAGTTCCTGATAAGGTTTAGTGACACCACCGGCCATTTTAATATGTTTAAACAATTTTTTAAGAGTACACCTCTTTTAATATGTTTAAACAATTTTTGAATCCCAGCGCTGCACCGCACGTCAAGAGTAAAGTACCTTTAAACAGCCAGTAGTGGCCGACGTTTCGGCTTTATCCGACAGTACTGCGATAGTACCGAAGCCTTATGTAGGTTTCGATCCGAGTATTCCTCGTTTAATAAGTTGAAACGATTTTTTAATCCCAGCGCTGCTTTATTTCAACATCCGATGCCCGTGTATATATAATTTATAACATATACGTATGTTGTGTTAAGAAATGTATACTAATTCAAATAGAAGTCCTGCATAAATTCTATATATACTACACACACACACACGCATACGCATACACACCCACCACAAACCCATCACACACGCGCGCGCGCGCGCGCATGCAACACACGCGACACGTAGAGGCACACGCACACGTATGGGGCACAAGTCCGACCGTGCCACCTCCTCGGTGTACCTCGGGTTACGCAAATGTCGGCGGCACAAACAAAATTTTTGTGAAAACCTGATATGTGATATATTTTATTCTTCTGATGCGATAACACACAGCACACACAGAATAAAAAATTGTTTAAACTTCTTAAACGAGGAGTACTCGGGTCGAAATCTACATAAGTCTTCGGTACTATCGCAGTATACTGTCGGATAAAGCCGAAAAGTCGGCCAGTACTGGCTGTTTAGAGGTACTTCCCTCTTGACGTGACGTGTGGTGCAG